TCGTAAACATCTCAGCTTATCACTTCCTTTCATCATGGCGGCGTTTTTGTGACAGCAGCAGAGCAGTGACATGATGACATGAAGCACCAGAGTCACACGCCGGCCTCTGCTCTGTTTCGATGTCGCATTGATGCTGAAACCTCTGTAGGACAGAGATGCATCGCTGCAGTTATCCTGCTGATTCAGTCAGAAAGCTCCACCAGGTGTCTGTGAGAGCTGATCTGTTCATTTCAGTTCTATGTTGGTTTACTGTGCCGTACAATAGATGGACTGACTGTGAAGACCACCGATGTTGGCGTCTTGTCACTCTGGATGTGACAAATCGGCGTATCTGGCTGTGAAACTGGACACGCCTCCTTTTTGAAACAAAGCATAACCAAAACTTACTAAATGGATTCGACGTGCGGAGGCATTTCAAACCTGCCAGACAGAAAACGTTCTCAGTCGTTTCTACAAACCAGAGAAAAACAGGGAGAAAAGTAACAAACACACTGAAAGCAGATGAGTTCTGATGGAGTCAGAAAAGCAAAGTTTGAGTTTGATGTTTCCTTAAATATAAAGGGACAGTTTTGATTGAATAAACCTTCTTTTATCTCTGCAGACATAAAAAGACAAGATCTAGATCCTGGAGAAGCATCAGGAGTCAGAAAGAGCCTATAAATATAACCAACAGTCGCTGAGTTGTCTCTAAAATCTGATCTGTACATTTGTCTGTGTGGAGTTTCATGCTCGCGGCGTCCTGAGGTGATCTGATCGTGCAGACTGGATGAAGGCGTCACGCCCTTCAGCGGGAGCCGCTCGCACTGAGCGCACAGCTTGATGTGAGGGCGTGGAGGTTGGACGCCAGCGTGAGCGAGCCCTGTGGTCGCAGTGCAGGATTTAACAAGTAAACCAGGCCGATGCGCACACTCGTAGCTGCTTGTAGATCGAGGTGAATTTTTGTGACTCATCAGTTTGTGTCGTTTTGTAATGACGACGAATCTTTCTGGGAAACAAGTTTGTTTTCTGTGTTGAATTCATCGTCACTCAGATGATTCTGATGTTTGTTGTTGTTTCTGAGGATAAAGATGCTTCTCATGAATCTGATCGATTTAAAGATCT